GACCCGGCTCCCTCCGGGTGGGAAACGGCAGCTGCTACCGGGCGGCACACACGAATTTCAGCCCCGAACCCGAGCCGCCTGGAGCTTTACAGACGCCCTCGGCGCGCGCGCAAGCACGTCCTTCCCCTGGGCTGGCGGTCGCCGAGACGGGGACCCGCGCGAGGAACCTACCCCAGCTGGCGGCTGTCCTCCCCAGGCAGGTCCTCTCCTCCCGGTTCCACAGGAACAGCTTCAGCTCCCCTGCCAGCTCCCGCCACGTTTTGCTCCCCATCTCCGCCTTGGTCTTTTCCTCCCCGCTGGCGGGATCCTCTGCCTTCTCTTCACGCTTGTTTTCCTGGAACAGTTACAGAGCGCAACCCCCACCCGCAGCCTGAACATCTCATTGGCCAAAAATAAATGCAAAAGCACTTAATAGCTGGAGATGTTTCAAATTTCCATTTTCCCATCATCACTCTTGAGTTAGAGGCAGTTTTTGGCTGTACTGACTTACGATCGGTCAGATCCCAGCAGTCATTTTTCCATGGCACATGCATCGCTGCAGTCTCACCGGGCACTGCCTCTTTCTCCCGGCGTTTACTGAAACTCTTCCCTTTTAATCTGTGGGAACATGGCTAAAAGAAAACCTGCAAGCCGGGGAGTCGTGTTTGTTCCCACACCTCGACAATGCCTCTTAGCTCGAGTGCACCGTTGTCTGTGTTACCGCAGATGACACCAGGTGGCATTATTTAAGAGGCCATCCAAGTTATTTTTCTTGGCATGTGAGCAAATGTTTAGTCTTTGGAGAAATGCCTGTGTTGTTATTTTGTAATTACATCGAGTTCCAGGGAAAGGCATCGAGGGAGTCCGCTTTTGGCCTTGGCCCCAACGGTGAAAACTCGTTTGAACGGAGGCCACGAACACAAAATCCTCAGTACCTGAGTCCTGGCCAAGAGTCATCTGAGATGAGGTATGGCAGGCGTCCCTGAAAAACCCTGGAGTCTGGGAAAGCTCTGTGCCTCTCACAACAGGCCGGGACGGGGGACGGGGCACAGCCCCAGCCCTGGCCCTCCCTGGAGCACGGACGCGGGCACCCAAACTCGTCTCTTTCCAGACCTGGCCTGGGACCAGAGCAAAGCTGGGCTTAGTCTCAAGGTCAGATTTCAGGAGAGTAAGGGCTGAGTTATGATAACGGATGAAAAGCATACAAAAGCCAGCTGGTGCTGCAGCAGGGGGTCGCTGGGTCGCCAGGGATAAGGCCTGGCGCTGAGAACTGCATTTGGGTCCTCGTCCCCACCTTGCCCTAAGGCCCTGGCAGGGTCCTTCCCCCGGCGCCCGGGCTGGCAGAGGCGCCCTGCGGCGGCCGCCCGGGCAGCGCGGAGCTTTGTTTG